GAGTCCCACACTGGGCTCCCTGCTCGGCAGGGAGTCTGCTTCTCCCTCTGACCCTCCCGACCCTCCCCCCTCTCATGTGCTCTCTCTCTCAAATAAATAAATAAAATCTTTAAAAAAAAAAAAAGAATTGACATAGGCTATGGAAGAAAAGGAACAGGGTAATAAGGTTGAAGAATGCTGGACTGGGGCATAGGTTGAAGCTTTTGTGAGGTTGATTATAATAACGAGATTGAGTTAAAGAAGGTGGACAAGTTTGTACTATTATTAGCTAAAGCCAAAGTATCTCACCATAATTGCAGATTAGCTTATTTTATCAACCTACACACAAAGTGTCACTGCAATGTTTGAGACCAATGGAATAAACAAAATAGAAAAGGGACTAATTTTTTTAAATAATGTATTAATATTATTACTGAATGCACTAACAAGCGGCATAGAAAAAGCAACAATCCATTAAATGATTAAATCAAAAACATTTATGCCATGGAGTAGTGACTTAGCTAACAGCTCTAAGACAAAATCCCTGAAGAGGAATATTAGCAGAATGTTATTTTACAAAGAAGCACTAAAACAAACTCCTGGTAACAAAATATTCAACTTGGTATATTTGCAGTTGAAAAGAAAAAATGGTACTATGTAAGGCACTGCATAAGTGTTCATTGATGGTACAGCTGCACCAACAGAAAGGTATCAAGGCTTTACATCAAGAGTTTGTCCTAAACACCCTGAGTAACACGTCACTCCATTCCATTCAAAGATCTATATTCCATATTCAATGATGCTATCAAAATAAATCTAATAAAACCCAAGCTGCTAGAGTCCTGCCTGATTTCAGTTTTATGGAAAGAAAACCTATTAGAGCACAACATTACTGTTATGTTAAAAATAAAATGTGTTTTGAAAAAGTTTATATTAGTCACCGTATAGTACATCATTAGTTTTTGATGTAATGTTCCATGATTCATTGTTTGCGTATAACACCCAGTGCTCCATGCAATATGTGTCCTCCTTAATACTCATCACCAGGCTATCCCACCCCCCCCATGCCCCTCCCCTCTGAAGCCCTCAGTTTGTTTCCCATAGTCCACAGTCTCTCATGGTTAGTCTCCCCCTCTGATTTCCGTCCCCTTCATTTTTCCCTTCCTTCTCCTAATGTCCTCCATGCTATTCCTTACATTCCATATATAAGTGAAATCATATGATAATTGTCTTTCTCTGCTTGACTAACCCTAACATAGTATAATAAAATAAAATAAAGAATAAAATAAAAAAATAAACATACGGACTGAAACACAGACTTTTCAGACGGGATGAAACAACATGGTCCACCTGTATGCTGTCTTGTATTAGCCTATCTTGTATAGTAGACAGTTTCCCCAAGTTGGAGATCTTAATGGCAGTAAGTAAAACAAAATACAGAACCGTTAGCAAATTGAGGGATGCTCTTACCTCTAAATTCTAAGATCTCATGAAGCTAGTAAAACCCTTTAAAAAGTCAATTAGAGAAAGACATGTATCATATGATCTCACTGATATGAGGAATTCTTAATCTCAGGAAACAAACTGAGGGTT